CAACATTCCAGGTCTCTGTCTGGTCAAATGTCTGGTCTCTATAACTCCCAGACATTTACAGGATGTTGTTTCATGAAGTGTGGAAGAATAGTGCTACACAGGGGCAAACATGGCTTTGTCCTATCTTTTCTGAGACATGTTGATGTCATTAAATTCTAAATGGCACAATTGTCTGGGTATAAATGTACTCAGTTCCATTCCTACTGGCCTTAAAGGCTGGGCAAATGCATAACTCGTCATTGCTTCTGCAAGTGACAGACAATGGTGCCTGTAATCAGAGCTGCACACCTGTGGTGAGTGAAGTTATAATTACTCTATAATTACTGTTTGTGTCTTTGTTTTTCAACATGCCAAAAGATGTAAGCCAATACGCCTTGGTGTGTTTGTAATGTCTTTAGCCTTTCATTACTTTTTCAAACGTACTTTGAGTTTCATATTCTTTCCTGCTAAAGCTTTGTTCTGAACCATTTACCCAAGCATGGATAATGTGCATTAATATCTTGCAAAACCAGATGAAGCATTTCTTTCAGGCCACCAGCTCACGGGTCATGACTCAGACATGTAACATGTTTTTTTTGTTCTTCTAGATTATGGTAAATGGTAAATGGCCTGTACTTGTATAGCGCTTTACTAGTCCCTAAGGACCCCAACGCACCTTACACATCCAGTCATCCACCCATTCACACACACATTCACACACTGGTGATGGCAAGCTACATTGTAGCCACAGCTGCCCTGGGGCGCACTGACAGAGACTTATATTATTTAGATTATACTAAATAATATAAGTTCCTATTCAGTGTGTCAGTGTAAAGACATATTTCCAGTTGCCTTTTGAATACCCAATAGTACTATTATATGTCACAGTTCTTAAGCAGAGCCACAGCAGCTTGTTTCATAATGATTTTTCCCTTTATTTTATATTTTATATAATTTATTAAAATGTGAATTGTGTTTAAGCTAGCTAACTACCCAAAGTAAATGTGTTTTATTTTCACACTTTTGCACAAGTGCCCATTTTTGTATCCATTACATATCTTACAATTAATATGCTATGTTCCCGAGTGATCCCAAAAATGTAATTAATAAGGTCTACTGTATATAACAAGAGACATTTCTCATCTTGAGTACTCACAGTAATTCCTTGTGAAGGCCTTGGTTTGTATCAGGGCAGTAGTAACTTCACCACAGGAGTCAAGTATGAGGTAGGTAAGCCTAAGAGGCTTTTGACTAAAATGTTTTAAGAGCTGTTTTATCTGCAATGTCTCTCCGAGGCTATATTTAACCAGGTAAAACCAGATTTGTTGCATGGGTTTCTCCTTTAGATATTCCTTTGATCCCCATTGTCTAATTTCCTAGCTGTCTGCTCAAAAAAAAAAAAAAAAAAACAACCCAACAGTGCTGTATTACAAAATAGCAGTTGTAGAAACTGATCATCCCCAAGAACTCCTGCACCGTTTTCACCGACATGGGACACGAAACCACACTTTCAGCGGAAATGTGGCACCCCAGGAAATCCAGAACGGGCAACCTGAACTGGCACTTGGAAGGTTTACAATTAGGCCGTGTGCCGCCAAGCACTGAAAATCCTGACGCAGATGGGACGTGTGCTGACTCTCAGAACAGCTGGCCACCAATATTTTGTTAAGGTACATGAAGTCGAAAGGCAGGCCGCACAACACAGAGTCCATCAACCGCTGAAAAGTCTAGGCAGCGCCTTTCGGGCCGAACGCCATGCGCTAAAACTCAAACAGGTCGAAAGGGGTAATTACAGCAGTTTTGGGAACGTCTTCGGCACAGGAACCTGGTGATACCCCTGCACCAAGTCAATTTTAGAAAAAAATCGAGGTGCTGGCAAGGTGTGTGGAAAATTCTTGGATATGGGGAATGGGGTAACGGTCGTTCTCCGTGACATTATTCAAATGGCAAAAATCCCCGCACAACCACCACCAACCATCTGATTTGGGCACCATGTGTAGCGGAGAGGCCCAGGCACTATTCGAGGACTGTACAATGCCGAGGCGCTCCATGGCCGCAAACTCCTCCCGAGCGACGGACAGTTTCGCAGGGTCGAGGCAGTGTGCATGCGCAAACACCATTGCCATGTTCGAGAAATTCGGAACAGTCAGTGAAGGAAACTCAAAAAACAAACGCTGAAAAACATTCCCCAAAGTCACTAAATTAGCCTGATTCAGGGGCTCAATGGCCCAAGTGAAACAGGGTATTGAAGAGAAGCACAGGGCATCGATTAAGCATCTGTTAGAGACATCGACCAGCAGTCCATGGGCACAAAGACAATCGTCGCCCAAAATAGGCACAGAGCTAGCGGCAACAACAAAGCTTCACTGGAAATCCCAGCATGAAAACAAACAGTCACCAACCTTTTCCTGAATGTTACAATGGGAAAGCCATTAGCTGCGATGAGCTGCGGCCCAAGGATAGCATGTGCTCCATCAGTTCGAGAGCCGTACCGCCACCCAGGCCTGAGATTCAGTCATCCACCCATTCACACACACATTAACACACTGGTGATGGCAAGCTACATTGTAGCCACAGCCGGCCTGGGGCGCACTGACAGAGGCGAGGCTGCTGGACACTGGCGCCACTGGGCCCTCTGACCACCACTAGTAGGCAACGGATGAAGTGTATTGCCCAAGGACACAACGACTGAGACTGTCGGAGCTGTGGCTCAAACCGGCAACCTTCCAATTACAAGACAAACTGCCAACTCTTGAGCCACGATCGCAAACACATAAACACAGACGGCACCAGAGCTCTCGATTAACACTTCCTTTATTGCTCATCACCACACAACTGAATACTTTTACCTTCAAAACACAGCAACAACACTTCCTGTAAACTGTGTGATTGGAGCCCTCCAGTGGTCCACCACAATGTCAAAGTAACAGGCAATGATCACTGAGACACCTGACTGCTTCCTTGTTCCTTGGGCATGGGGACAATAGTACCATATACAACTTCTCACAGGGACAGGTTAAAGATCTTAGTGAACACAACTGCAAGTTGGTTCAGCACCTTAAAATAAGTCAGGCTCCTCCCAGGATATTTGTCTTCTTTAATACTATTCGTTAGCTCTCTTTGGGCATTACTGTAAGCCAACTTTGAGGCCTTGCCTTGCTCTCAAGCAATAATTTTTGGTCTTGGAATATGGATGATCTTGGTGGTTAAGACCATCAGTGTTCCCAAACCAAAAATTATGCCTCGACAACAAGGCGCGGCATCTGAGCTGTCAGTAGAGAAGGCTACACATGCCAGAATAGAAGAGCTGTGTTCTTCAAGCGCTGTACATACAACACTCAGTCTGTCTTTTCAAATCAGTCCTGCTGCGGTAAAATGGATTCTTCTCTCCAGGCTTGGACAGTTTGTACAGCTGGCCATGGTCTATAGAGGTCTATATGATGGACTTAATTCAAGATGAGATGGTCAGGGAGGCTAGGGTGTCAAGATAGGACAGCTTTATATGCTGCTAGGATGCTGGTGTAAACCTGATCGTCATATTCTTTTCCCTTTTTCAGAAATGTATATTGTTATACAGTTTGGGCATTACAGTCTTTCACTATGCCTAATTAAAGTCTCTTTCTACAATCACACCTACTTCTGGATATTTGCTCAGCCAGTTGTTAATGGTATCATGCAGAGCTAACTTAGTATTAGCTTGTAGTGGAACATAAAGAGCTGTGATTAAGACCGCACGAAACTCTCTTGGTGGGTAGAATGGTCAGCATTTCAGTACCAGATATCCAATATCAGGAGTTCAGTGCATGGTGATAATGTCTGTAGATGTACACTGGTCATCATTAAAATATATGCGCACTCCTTTTCCTTTGCTCTTAATGGAGTCAGCCATTCTGTCTGATCACTAAACAGACGAGCCTGTGAGGTTATTTGAACTTCTGCTCACTGAATATCTCCTCTTTTTCAGCTGTAAAGTCAGTTAACCGTAGAGATAATTGTGTGGGAAAAACCCCAGTAATTCAGTAGTTCCTGAAACACCCAGACCAGCCCATCTAGCACCGACAACTGTGGCATGTTCAAGTCACTTATATTTCCTTTCTTCCCCATTCCAATGCTTGGTTTGAACTTTAGCCGGTGTCTTGACCATGTGTACCTAAATGCTTTGATTTGCTGCATTATGATTTGCTGAATAGATATTTAACTTAAGCAGCTGAACAGGTGTACCTAATGAAGTGGTGAGTGCAAAAGAGGCTTTCTTTATAATCCTCTCCATGAGTTTTTCACTTAAATTTTTTTTAGTTTTGGTATACTATTAGTACTTTTACTCAAGTAAAGAATAATTCAAATATTTTTGTATTAGTTTTTTTTTTTTTAAGTAGGGCAGTAAAACATATATCTGTCACACTAGAAAGAACTGGAGGCCGGCTACGCAGAAGGCAGTGGTGGCGACGACCTTGTTTAGGCCCCCCCCCGGATGGCGATGACATCCAGCTAAAGGCCTGGAAAGTGACGGACAAGGTAAGCGACCCATGTTGTAGGTGACGTCAGACGCCGGAGATTTTGGCGGAGAAAAAGCAAATGGTAGCGTAGAATTTAACAAAGGTTTTTCAAGCTTCAGTATTACCAAATATACTAATCAATTGTCATATAACTAACAACATCTGTTTTACCATCTCTAACACCCTGGAGGACAAC